TGACTTTGGGGCATATATGTGTTTGATCCCGTTGATGTCGTCATCGCTCAGTTTAAAGAATGGATCGTACGGCCTATCGATCGGGTACATCACCGCATTTTTATTAGTTGAGTGCTCCAGACCCAACAGATGACCGATTTCATGTAGAGCTACCTGCGTTTTCCTCAGAGTAGTTGAGTTTAAATTTAGTGTTTAAAGTAATACCTGGTAGAAGTTGATTCCCTGATCCATGTTCAACGTCCATTGTTCATCTGCGTCAAAATGTAGATTGCCATTCTGCGGATAAAATCCATGTGCCACTATTCCAGCTGAAAGACAGGATACTTTATTTTTACAGTTTCCTTGTTGCCGTTTGTTAAGAAAGCAGATTAGTTGACTTTTAGTGAACTAAGATTATTCTACTTTGAGCAAAATTTACCATTCTAAATGTTACAGAGTAGAATAACTAACTGAACTGGATCAAGAGCCTGACGTCTATCTTCTTGTGACTCAATCAATGTACGTGAATGCTGGCTTTATGTCTCCTCGCTCTTCAGCAGACGAGATTTTCATATTGGATACTACCGGGGACGGATCTTTTTGTATTTGCCACTTAACGTATATCACTCAATAGATCATCGTAGTTTGGACAGGAAACACAGATTTACTTACTAATCGACCTGGGTAAAAAATTTACTCTTATATGTATCTATTGCAGTGAGCTGGTTTTTTGTACGGAACAGTGTCGATCATTGGTGACGTAAGGAACATTTCTGTCTTTGCGCAGAAATACCATTGCATGCAGACATAATATCATTGTTGATTATAGTATTAATGATTATCTCTGTAACTGCATATTTCAGTAAAACTAAGTGGACTTAAGCACACAAGGATGGAAACTCTACAAGCGCAGGCTCATGACTGGGGACTAAGAAGACGATTTACTTTGAAGCTCGTGTAAACATTACACTACCTTATGAGCATGTTTAGTTAATTAAACTTGAACCAGTCAACAAGTGAGTAATAGTGACGGCATGTCATTGAGCCTTATAGAGCTTGAATGGGTATCTCGAAACTCTCTCCATAGAATCTCTCGACAGAGCTGCAGAGCATGATCCGGAAGCCTAAAAATATCATAACGGACGATGTAAGGCAGCATTCGGTGAAGATTCTTTGATTTTCGTGTATGCATAGCGGTATCGTTTTATAGCAAAGTTATTCTGGTGTATTTTTTCTCTGTATGGTGCAATATCGAAATGAACAGAGGGAGTTGTAAAGAAGTTCACTAGCAGCCTTTTTGGCAGCGCTAAAATGGCAAATTAAGCGATCTTAATTGGCAAACTTGCGCAATCCATTGCATGGTTATCTAAACCATTAGTATGCATTTATTTAAATATGTTATTGTCAATATGCGTTTTACCATCAATATATCGATTTGTTTTGAATTCATCTTAAAATAATTTTTAAATTTTTGTCATTTTACTCTTCCCTTCAGAGAGAACTGCATACCTCTTCTTGTGGTTCCAGGGGTCTCCTCTCGCTTTGAACGGCTGTATGTCAGACGCTGCTGTAGCTGCTTCACACTATGATCTGCCTTTATCTGTCGCTGTCTTTCTTACGTGCTATATCATTGGATTTTTCTGCCTTAACGTTGTCTTATCGATATAGTCATCATTCACATTCTAACAGTGCAACCTACATCGTATGTCTGTTGTGGGTTTTACTTTGTGTTAGCCTTTTTTATATAACGCATAAATTATCATCATACGCTTGTGAAACACATAATATTATTTGATTGTGATGCCTTCCGCGAGGAAATACTTGAACTTAACCCTTTTACCCATTTTTCTTCTGAGTTTTATTTAGTTCATGTTTAAACTTTTGAAAACTGCACACAGCGAAGATGCATTTACCGTCTTGAATGCAGAGACTTTCCTTGTTCTCTTTTTCCTGATTCTGAAGTGCTAAGGAGATAAACTGAACTATTTCCAGCACGTTGTTTTCTCAACATCCTTAAGGTCAGGTGGTATCATCGAGTGGAAATTGCCAAATACTCAAAATCGATCCAGAGTGGAAAATCTTTCTGAAGAACTAAGAATACGAGTGTTCGGATTGTCTTCAATACAACGGTTCATAAGGCAGAGGATGTGACAAGAATTTGCCTCCAAGGGAAGTTGCTACGGAGAAGGAGATCAGGCTAGGTTAAAACTTATGGAAATTTCAAAACCTTCTGGAAGCAGATTTGTTCATGAAAAGAAATACGTCTTTTGTCAAAGTAATTAATGCTGCACCAAGGCCTGCCACTCAGTGCAATGTTTCAAAGAGATGATCGGACGCAGAGAAAGGCCAGCAGACAATATGCTGCTCAGCCCTCAGAAACATCAAAGGAAATTCAAGACGCAAATTGAGTCTTGGAACGTCAGTTAGAGAAAGACACGCTTCCCACCACCCCCGTAGCATGAAAAGTACTGTGAGACATTATTTCTCGCTGATGTTGAATAGAAAAATAGGAACACTGACTACGTTTGCAGAATACAATGAAAAATGACTTCCAGTGAAAATCCTTTGATGTTTCCGTATATACGGTTGCGGTTGTTTCAAGAACTGTACTTTGAACTTTTCGTTGCTGTGTGCTACGATGATGAAATCTACGAGTGTAACAGCTGGGAAGTTCGCGAAAAGTCTTGATGGTTCATTGCACTTGTAGTTAGAGTAATGAATTATTTCCTGCATGTCGAAGGTCATTAATTTAGTGTAAGCTTAATAAGCTTACGTCATCTCAGATGATTAAGGCAAAGAACAACAACTTTAACTAGTTCAGCTACTTGCCTTAAATAAATTTTCCTTTGATGATCATGAACAATGAAATGTTACTGCCATTTCAGGAGTATCATTGCTTTAACAGCGGAAATGTTTAGGATTCACTTTTAACTTTCTTTATCATTACTTCAGTCCATTCTTTAGTTGCTGTTCGCTTTCTGCGATGTGGTCAGCAGACTAAATTATTTTATTATGCAACTGTTTACTTGTTGCAGACACATTTCAGAATTTTCCATTGATAAGCCTACTTAAAGCATCAGTTGCGATGAACATCTAAGATAAAGTTTGGACGAAGTGTCAGCCGGCTAAGACGTCACCGATCTAAACAATTTTTCCGTTTAATCCTTTTCACTGTTAGATGACGTCATTCATACATTATTAGATTTACGAATAACATGTTTATTAAACAGTTTTCTAATATCCGGCTTACCCGTTCCATCAAACGGCAGCGAGTCGTTGTGTTCTCCTTTGGCAAAGAAGATCTTTACGTCCAATCGCTGATCTTTATTTTCGTCATTTTGCTCTACGAAGATGATGTGTTTTCGGCTGGCTGCCGACCAGTCATCGAATGCACGGTGCAGCGCGGTACTAAAGTTTATAGTGATTGCTGAATGTTTCATTAATCAGGCCTTCAGAATCTCTTACCGAACGATGAACTTTTCATGGGTGCCCAACAAATCGTAGGGATCAAGCAGTTGCCACGTCAGTCGATTATGTTGCCATTTTGTTTTATGTGGCACTTCAACCAAAACGATATAAGCAAATCTTTGTTTTATAGGTCATAATGAGCAGAATTTTTAATAGAAAATTCGTGATCATCAAAGAGTTAAGAAATTAGAAGGCGGAGGGACCCTGATCCTATTGTTTTAGTGAGAACTTAACACTGTCTGTTGGTTAACATTCTGGCCGTTCAGTTTAACAACATTTTTATTGTAAAGTATTGTTCGTTTGTTGTACATATGCCTTCATGCAGTCATTTGTATTTAGTATAGTCCTGATGATGCTACGATCTGTGTTGCGAAACGCGTTGGCAATAAACTGTTGAACCATGTGTTGTTTTTCGTGCCCTGAACCATGAACCATTCAAATACTTATCTAAACGGACCCTGGCTAGCGCAAATTATCCTGAAAGAGCTATGAAAAAAATTGTCAGTTATAATTAGTTTGCTTGACTCAACTACGCCACTCACAGGCTAACCTAATCACGGTCTTCCGCAAAGCAGCTGACACGATACGTGCGTCTTCTTCAGTCTCGCTATATTTGCTGTTGAACATGAACGTGCTGCGTATTTGTATTCATACACCTTAATAATTGTAATGTTTGTTTGCGATATGGTAGAGTACAGTAATGCACGAAGAGAAGAAAAAGCCAGCGCTCAGTCACTTGTTGACAGTTTCATGTGGAAGATCAAGTGCCAAAATTAAACATTTCTTAATTTTTCTATTTTCAAATACTGTTTATAAATATTGTAACGTATGTTATTAGCAATGACTTACTGAAACCTAATTTGCTTGTGCATCCTGTGAATACAACTAATAGAAATAGTCTTTTGACCATGGCAATGTACCACTCTATTTATGTACTGAAAACACAGCAACGGGGTGTGATAAACGAGTGGGGCTGGGCTAAATCTGACTTATCGGTATTCGTATTGTGTAAACCTTTGCGTAACTTTGTCTCTCGTAAGGCTTGATTTGTCTGTAGGTGAAGCTTGATCACATATTTTTAAAACAAAATTTATGGCACAGTTGAAGAAAAGAGATGCAGAGTAAAACATGCTCTTACCGAACCGTTTGTTTCGATCATGCCTTGTCGGACGATTTCCGCACCTAGGTGTTTCCATCAGCTCGAGTGACTCGTGATTCAGCTGTCCCGATGGGGTCAGCCCTACGTCTGACTGAAAATGCCTGCTCCAATATATGATTTCACGGAACTCCACACATTATGCAAGTGAGACGATTACCTTAGAGCTTTCGTCACCTCTTCATCTTTCAAATTCTGTGACGACGACAAATAACCGTATTTGAGTAGGTAGGCCTAAAATAATCAGCAGCTCTAAGCCATAATAAATACCACAACTACATATTACAAAGATTTCGTTGTGTTGCCTTATCACCCTTTTCTGAGATAACAGAAGAGTAACCTAGATTTACGGTGTCTGACTGTCAGAAATTGTACTTCAGATTGATATTCGATAACGTTTACTACTACTTTCAAACTGCGTGGATGCAAAGATGCAAATTACTCAGTAGCAAACAGCCCTGGTGCGGAAAATAATTCGAACATTTCTCTCATATAATATGCATCTCAAATGGTGCCTGCCGTTAAAGTAAGACGCACGCTGTTCAGATATATCTGTAGCGTGTGAAGTGGGTGAAGCGAACCTGCCATATGAAGCTTCAATTTTTGCTTGGCATTGGTCGTTATGCTAGAGATATGAAAGTATCGCTGATATATGATTCAGTCCATCTTCGTGATGACTCAAATTTCATTCAATTGAATTAAAAGAATAAACGAAGACTTGTGAACAATTTCTTTTGCAAGCGCCCTTTGCGATTTTGTAACAGCAATGCATCCTCTGAAAAACTATTCAGGGGATCTAAATAAAAAAATTTAAATTTTCTAGAAAAAATAATCTATGGTTCTCCATCCACAGTTAAAGACAGCAATTGAAAAGGACGGACGACGTAAGGTTTGTAACTTACTGACACATGTCGACTGCATGTACCAGCGTCATCATTAGCGTTATCACTGTAACCTTGATGATGACCTTGGTGTGCGGTGTCAAGACGCGTCGATAGGTAAAGCCACTTCATCTTTATCATTTGCTGACTAGAATCATGTATTGAAAACTGAAGATCATTAACTCTTACAAGCAGGCAACGAATCGATACCTCCTTCCAGTGTTGTTTGAGAAATTGATTTTTCATATTTATTTATTACTAAGTTACTTCGTTTTACTCATTTACATGGCTTAAGCACATCGTTCACTCTCTTTAGAGCACCATATAAAAACATGGCAGCTTCATGAAATTTAAAAACCAATGAGTTCATGCCTCGTAAATCCCGTTAGATCGAATTACTATATAACTTTCCTGCCAAATTTTAATTGTTTCTACTTCTGGTGATTACCACCAAAATATTTTGGCTATTTTTTGCTTACATTCGCTATTAAATATTTAATACTTTAAGAAGAAAACGTCAGTTGATATCTTTGACTTCAGCAGTAAGCATCAATTTGCACTTGTACCTAGACTCAGATTGCTCAGTCGGCAAAGCTTCACACTCAGAACCTACAAGCCGAGGTTAGAATTTCAGATGGGTCACTCACTAATTT